TGTGCTCTTTGCATGCTGGCTTTGAAGCTTAGGTGGGTTTTTATGGGACAGTTTTTCATATTAAATTACCATTTACTAGAAGTGTGAAAGGTATTGCGCTTTAATTTGAATCTGTATGGGTAGTTTATGAAATTGTTATAAGAATTTTTTATTTATTACAAAATAAATTATATACAAAATATAAATGGCATTTTGAATTAAGAAGTGTTACCTAACAATATTTTTTACTGTGCATTTCTGGAATAGCTGTTTTATATTGAACAGTGCAAGGAAAACATATTTGGATAGTGCAGTACTAATAAAGCACAGTAGCAATAATTAATGGTAGATGATAATTAAGTGTCTAGAAGCTTCCTAGAATGGGAAAGCTGGTGTAGGAAGGTAGAGTCACCTTCCTAATAACCCAGTTTAAGGATTTTACCTTTCCATCAGAGACTGAAATTGAGCATTTATAGGAGTCTGAATGCAGCCAGAGGTATAGACCGGCCTCGTACTGTCAGCCTGGTAATGTAAATGTTGTAGTTTCTCAAAAAACAGGAATGTTTTATATTGCAGGTTTAAGAGCAGTGGCTTAACCACCGCTGGTGCAGTTAGTGTGGCTGCACCGGGGTCCACACACTTTGGGCACCCGATGGGTATTGATGAACAGGTATTACGCTATGGCTCGTTAAAATAGCAACCTGGCCTCTGAGTATCGGCAGCATGGTAGAAAGTGAATGGCATTCACTTCCACCCAGTTTCATACAAAGAGCATTATGCGGGAGGGAGGAGGAGGCGGCACTGCCGTGGCGGATCGAGCGGGAGGGCAACGGGGCAATTGCCCCTCTCCTCTCCTCCCCTCCCCCCAAGGAAATAGTGAGGACCAGGGTCTCCCCTGCCGGCTCTTGCAGAGCTGGTGCTATCCAAGCGCCGACCCTGCTGTTTGCCTTCACGGACCAGAGGGGAGATCAGTGATCTTCCTCCCCGGCCCACAGGCACTCTGCTGGCAGCCTGCAGGGGAGGGAGAGAGCACCCGGGGAACTTTTACTTGCAGCTCTGCCGGGTTCTCATCTCGCGAGCAGGCTAGAGTTCACTCTCAACACTAGTACCACCAGGGAGTGGAAGCACTGTCCCCCCTCCCAGGCCTCAGGTAAGAAGGGAGGGAGAACATTAACTAATCTGCCCCCACCCCCTCACTGAAACAATAACTACTTACACTGTCACACACTGCACCACACACAAACACACTGCCCCTAATACACACACTACACCCCATACACAAAATGCCCCATACACATACTGCCCCATATACACACTGCCCCTAATACACACACACACACATTGCCCCGCCATACACACACTGCCTCCCATACACACACTGCACCCTCAAACACAAACACTGATCTCTCAAACACACATACTACACCCCAATACACACATACACTACCTCCCATACACACATACAACACCCCAATACACACACACACACACTATCTCCCATACACACACTGCCCACCCATACACACACATTGCACCACTCACACACACACACACACACACACTGTTCCTCTAATACACTCTACCCCAATACACACACTGTCCTCCATACACATATTGCACCCCTCACACACTGCACCCCATACACACACACACTTTACCACTCACACACTCTGCACACCTCACACACACTGTCCCACACATACACACACACACACACACTACTGCCCCTATCCCGGCAAACCCCAGGTAAGTTGTCAAACTGTTTTTAAAATGGTTTGATTACTTACTCTGGGAGGGCGCAATGGCACTCCTGGCACCATAACCACTGCAGAGAGCTGAAGTGGTTATTGTGCCTGGATTGTTTCTTTAAATATTCTGCCAGTGCCCCTCCCGAGATTAGGTTCTGGATCCGCCCATGTGACACAGGCAGCATGGGGAGAGGAGAGCTTCCGACCCTTCAGACCCTTCCTCCCATCAACTTCCACCAGCAGCAGGACCTGAAGCAAGCCCTTCTCCTGGACACAAAAGATATGCCAACAGGAGGGTGGCTGTAAAGATAAAAATTATGACGTGTATGTGTTTATGTATGTCAGTGTGTGTGTGTGTGTGTGTGTGTCTGTGTGTGTATCTGTATGTCAAGGTTTGTAAATATCAGTGTGTGTATCTGTGTGTCAGGGTGTGTGTAAGTGTCAGTGTGTGCATCTAAGTATGTGTTCGTGCATCTGTGTATCACAGTGTATATATGTCAGTGTATATGGGTATCAGGGTGTGTGCATGTGTCAGTGTGTGTGTGTGTATTTTTGTGTCAGGGGGTCTGCATGTGTCACTGTGTGTGTCTCTGTGTCCAGGTGTGTATATGTCAGTATTTTCATCTCTGTGTCAGAGAGTGTGTCTGTCTGTGTGTGTGTGTGTTTGTATGTCAATGTGTGTTTGTCAGGGTTTGCATATGTGTGTGTGTGTCAGGGTATGGATCTGTGTGCCAGGGTGTGCATCTCTGTGTGTATGTGTACATGACAGTGTGTGTATCTATGCGTCAGTGTGTGTGTATGTGTCGGCTTATTAGTGTGTGTGTATGTGTCAGTGTATATATGTGTGTATATGTGACACTATGTATATGAATTTGTGTGTGTCAGTGTGTTAATGTGCATGTATCTATGTATGTATGTTGCAGTTTATGTGCATAGATCCAAGCACCAACACAACATGCAAACACAATCTAACACAAATATAACATCTAAACACAGCCCTGCATTCAAACTTTAAAACTATATACAAATACACCCCTTCACTCAAACACCAATACTACGCACAAATGTACATCTGCATTTAAAAACCAACGTTACATACAAACACACTCCTGCAATCAAACACAAACAATACTTACAAACACAAATCAAAAAAGTGCACAATATTTCTACAAGAAGCTCCACCTTATGTATGTATGTTTTCTAATACTTACAAACAGCCCCCTGTATTAATACACTAAAGTAGATACAAGCACCCCTTTAATAAAATCACATCACTACACACTAAGCATGCCAACACTACATACAAACACACCCCTGCATTTAAATGCAAACACTACACGCAAGTACACCACTGCATTGCAATGGCAATAGTACATACAAATACACCTCTACATACACACATATACTCTATACAAAAACATGCTTACATTTGAATTCACAAACACTGCTCACAAATACAACTCTGCAAGGATGGGCAATGGTAGATCCCCAGTATCATTGGAGATGTACCACAGATGGGGATCTACTTTTTGCCCACTTGCACTAGAGGGGGGACCAGGCCTTTCTCAACATTAGTTATGCCACTGGTTAAAAGGACATGGACACTGCACTCAAACCACTTCATTGAGATGGGTAAGTGTAGTGTCCTTTTGACCAAGGACCCATTTAAGGGCTGACACATTGTTGTTCACTGTTACTAAATAAAATCTGCCTATATAAGGAAAAAGCTGTGCTTCTTTTGAACGTTTAGTGTCCCTTTAAACTTGTCAGTGCAATATAGTAAGTATAACGATTATATAAAACAGCAGGAAACAAACTAAAGTGGAAAACAATAATTGTCAAGCTAATCCACTAACACAATAAGTCCAGTCCTGAAAATGAAAGTGTCATGATGACATGTAATGCAGGCCCTTTTTTTCAAGTGGGGCAGGAGTTAATGGAGACTACAGGGATTAGTGGAGCAGAAGCTGAGAGAAACTGGGACTGGATAGGGAGCTGCAGAGGCATTGACTAACTGGAACAAGATTGGGGTCAGAATAGGTTAAGTGAGGGCCCAGCAACCCACCTCCAACTCTCAAGTATGGTTTGCACCTTTGTGTTGACTTTGTGAATTGTAGCCTTTACTGCAAGATATAGGATGTGTGCAGTAGAGCACACACCTACAGAGGAAACCTCTCGCAGAGCATTGATCATGTTAGCACGTTACACCAGGTGACCATGAACCCAACGTTTCACCTACAGTAATCAGCAGGGCAACCAGTTGAGTCAAGCTGTTAGCTGGCAGTTTTGACATTCATAGATGCCTCATCCAAGGTCCTTATTTAACATTTGCAAACAGAGAGCCTCAGGAAGAAGGATTTCACAGGTAAGTAGATTAATATCAAAAGAGCAGGAATTAGGTTGGTAGGGTGGGATTTGCCAAAAATGGGGTACATTGGCATTGTGGCAGGCTTAGGCAATGTAAGATCCTCCATATGATCTAGAATGTAAGCTCATTAAGCAGGGTCCTCCATCTCCCTGTTCCTGTACGTCCAGTTGTCTGGTTACAATTACATGTCTGTTAGTCCACCCATTGTACAGCGCTACGGAATCTGATGGTGCTATATAAATAATAAAATAATAATAATATTATCCCTATGGTTTTTTTTTTTTAAAAAAGAGAGTGTGCTAGCTCTTGTATGTATGGATGGATATATATATATATATATATATATATATATATATATATATATATATATATATATAGATAGATAGATAGATAGATAGATAGATATCCCGTGCAAGAAACATTACAAGAAATAGATAGCTTTTAATAAAAAGAATAAAACAAGACGATAAAGACGGCACTGATGTTTGATGTGGCTGGGAAACACATGAATGCATATGCATTTCTAAAAATGATCTAAGTAAACAATTGTTACAGTGGAATGTTCTTTGTCCTGATGAAAGCTCCATGTGGGAGCTGAAACGTTGACCTTTTTAATGGATTAAATAATAGTTACATTTTAATTGAAAATTTCTACAAAGACCTTGGAGTGCGGTTATATATATATATATATATATATATATATATATATAGATAGATAGATAGATAGATAGATAGATAGATAGATAGATAGGAACATAAATTTGCATTGCATAAACCTTTTTGGCTTTTAGACTTAAACTTCATTGTACAAACGGGAAGTATTAGATATTTAAAACATCATTTATTTTGCACATAATAAATTTTAAACAGCAAGTCCAATGTTTATATCAAACTTTCAAGCACATTGAGATATTTCTTTTGTTATGCCTCCAGTCAGTAATTGTCAAGAAACAATAACAGATGGTAGATGAACATGAAATATTAATTGTGGGTATAGCAAGCACCCACAACATACATTAATTTAACATTTTAACACTCTGTGCTATAATATCTCATGTTTTTGAAAACAGTTCCAGAATTTATATTGCTTTCTAGATTTTGATCATGCCTTTTGTTTTTATTATTAGTGAATTGAGCAATTATCTTAATCCTGAAATTATCTGAAACAAATTGCTGGTATACCCCAAAAAGTAAAAATTTTAGATCACTTGAATAATATGACTTCACAAAATATTATATTGGGATAAAGGTTTATCATTAAAGAGAGAATTTCTGGTAGTGAATCCAAAGTGAATTTAAAATTTAAGGCTGCAATAGGCAAACCGAACACATCAGTTTTCTAAATCTACTATTTTATTATAGAGCTCCACCCATTGGTTACGGTTGGGGGCAGTAGCCTGGATACTGACCTGTCCACCCTCCTTTATTGAAATTCTGTCCCTCAATCAATGGGTTGAGGCCAATGCCAGATCCTTTCGCTGGTATTTTACAGCCCCATTCCCATGGGACAGAGCTATTGCTTGCAAATGGGCAGTAATAGCTACCCATTCACTAGATTTAATTTCTATGAGCAGCCGCTAGTTGTTTGCTGTTTAGAAGATTAAGAAGACAGCATGGAGGGTGGGGCATAAGGAAGGTTTCAAACTTTTCTCAAGCTTTTTTAGTTTTTATGGGCTGTTTTTTTTTTTTTGTTTTGTCTTTTCAATGTGGAGGCTGGCTAGTGGCAAGCTTTTTAAATTATTTGTCTGCTAGTGCTGCTACCTGGCAAATTGTTTGTTTGTTTTTTCAATTCGTGGCACAACAATCTAGGTTTAATGCATGTATACTATTTTATAATTCCCCTGCTCTTCTCTAACACCAGGGCAAATTGAACCTCAATATAAAACAGCCTGTCTTTACTTGATTTGGATTCCACAACAAAAAAGTGCACTAGATGCCTTACATATGATATTGTGACACATGACATTTAGAGCCATCAGCTTAACACCGATAAGACAACTAAAACGCCTTTGATCCAATAAAATCTGAATTATATCCTCTGCTCCTTAACAGGGCCTGTAGCTACTATGATGGTGCCTTCTATTTGGAATGATACTTGCTTATCATAATTGTTGTTGAGACTTGTATGTTAACCTGGCATCTTGGAATTGTGCTGCAGAAGCCATTGTCCCCTATTATATCAAATGAACCACTAATGTACTGTGCATGGCAGAAGTGATATTGGCAATCCCTTTATTTAAGTAACGAAAACTGTAACTTCAAATAAAATCTTGGCAGTACATGTTTTTTTATGAGATAAATAGTTCACAGTAGAGCCAAAACAAAGTAATTCATAATTAAATGCTATTTATCAGACCTTGTTAATTTAAACATTGGACAAATCTATTTTGTCTGGAATGCAATTTATCATTTGAAAATATGTAAAAGTCCCTTTAGGCATCAAACTAAATATGTGTAATTTAGAATATCATTAAAACAGTTAATTACATTGAAGTTCCTTTAACATATTATTTATTTATTTTTTTGAATTTGTTATAGCTGCAATAGATTGTAGGTTGCTTCCTTTGTTGAGTTAGATCTGCATACATAAATCTCTTTTTAGATGTTTTGCTTCAATGTACCTAAAGTACTTAGCATTTTAATGGAGACATTTGTTTTTTTTATATTTCTTGTTTTTCGTTCTCTGACTTGAGAGAATGCATGAAACACTTGAAACACAACTCTTTAAATCTTTAAAGGGAAAATATCAATTCCCAGGATTTTTAATGTTACCTTTACCCATCCCCTGTATTTAGCAAAACGTTTTAAAATTTTTTTTAATGAAATGTAGTAATCCAAACTGTGATCCTAGCTCTAAGCAACATCTTGCTCCCTGCCAGTCATCTTCATAAATACAAGTCTTTTCTGCCATTTAATGTAGTAAATCCCTTAAAGACTGAGGCAATTGTCTAACTTCTGAACCAAAACAAAACTTCTGTGTTGTGTGTTTGTTCCACCATAATTTATAAATTCATCTTAAGTGTACCCATACATATTATCTATTGCTGGATACTAATCCGTGGCAGCATCACGATAGGGTTAGCTCCTCCTCCTTGGCTGTTTAGGGCAGGAAATACTTACAAATAGGCCCTCCTTGCTTGATATCATCAGTCTTTTTTCCTGTCTTCTTGGCTGTGGACATGTTTTCAGGTAATTTACCTTACCTTTATTTTAATTTAAGTTTACCTCTTTAATTCCCGGGAGAGTTCAGCCTCTCTCCTGGAAGAAATGGAAATTTCAAATGTTATTAAACAAGAAAATATACAAGGCAGATATCCTTAAAGGACCACTATAGGCACCCAGACCACTTCAAAAATTGGTATATAGGTCACGCTAAAGGGACAGAGAGGTGATATAGAATAAATAAATAATAGTAGTAGATAAACCTGTATATTTCTTGGGTGGATATAAAGTCCAAATGAGTGTCTGAAGCTTCTTATGTTGGAGGTATCTTGTTTCGCTTGTCGATATGTGGGTACATAAAAGAGATAAGAAAAACTCCAATAGTGTAGGATGTCGACAAATATTCAGATATAAGTCTGTGAGTAGGTAAAAAACTCACCTTATCATGAGCAAAAAAACTTGCTCAAGTACTCTTAGCGTTCAGTGGCGTCAATCCCCCACTGGTCGGATATGGATGATGGGGTCCTTAACAATTCCTCGATTTGTGGAGAGATGAGAGACGTATATAGTGCTCACTGGATTATTTAAAAAAACAAATAAAATGGTAAAATACTCACATGTATATGAGCAGGAACTACTGCTCAATATAGTGGCGCAGGTGGTACAATCCCCACCTTGGATTCTTGGAAAGTAGCGTACTTCAATCCAAATCGGTGACCAGGTAATTCAAATTAAAATAAAAGTAAATAAAAAATATATATAGGCAAAAAATAAAAGCCAATATTTCTTTATTAAAATATAATATATCAGTATAAAAAACAAAGTAATAACAGCCAAAACGCGTTTCACCACACAGGGCATTATCAAATGGCATTAAAAAGAGCTCAGTGAGCACTATATACGTCTCTCATCTCTCCACATATCGAGGAATTGTTAAGGACCCCATCATCCATATCCGACCAGTGGGGTTGACGCCACTGAACGCTAAGAGTACTTGAGCAAGTTTTTTTGCTCATGATAAGGTGAGTTTTTTACCTACTCACAGACTTATATCTGAATATTTGTCGACATCCTACACTATTGGAGTTTTTCTTATCTCTTTTATGTACCCACATATCGACAAACGAAACAAGATACCTCCAACATAAGAAGCTTCAGACACTCATTTGGACTTTATATCCACCCAAGAAATATACAGGCTTATCTACTACTTGGGACTTTTTATCATATTTATTTATTTATTCTATATCACCTCTCTGTCCCTTTAGCGCGTTCTATATACCAATTTTTGTCTACCTTATTCCTTGTTAGGCTTGTTGAGGGACCTCATTTTTATAGGTTGCTGCTTTTATACTTATTTTAGTTTCTTTTAGATTATTTAGCGCTGAACCGTTATCCATTTGTCCAGCTAGGTTTAACCCTTTTTTTCTATAGGGTGGGGGCACCCTCAGGGCACTATAGTGCAAGGAAAACGAGTATGTTTTCCTGGCACTACAGTGGTCCTTTAATATTAGAAGAATTCCACAATAATTATCTATTAGCGGTAATATAATGGGTATTATGTGATGGAAATTGTACCGCAGTGATCCTACGGGTAGCGTTTTCTTAAGTGCTCTCACGAATAAGAGATTTAACCACAGTGATCCTAATGATAGCAGTGTGTGGAGTATACACTTTATACCCATGATAAGTCCGCAGTGATCCTAATGGTAGCGGTCATTATGTGTGACTCATGCTTTTCCTTTCATGGATCTATAGCCGCAGTGATCCTTATGGTAGCGGTGCATGTAGTAAACACACATTAAATATATATGTAATCTGCAATGATTTCCTGCAAAATATTTATATCATTTTTGGATATGTTACCTGCATCCTTTATCAGTTTTTTGCTGGTAACGGATTAATATGGGGAGACCTTCTTATGGGCTTTTTGCCTGTGTTCTTACGGTTCATTCGTTTGGAAGCTGCGTTCGGCAGTTTCACGCCATTTCGCATTTTGGTCGGCATTCTCCTTTTAGGCTCTGTTCGCATTCATTTGTTTTTGCATCCGTATGAATTTTTCAGTCATATGAATTTTCCTGTCTTCATATGCATGGTTACTGTTCGGCAAACGAACTGTATGTTCGTTTTTTTGTGTATTGAAGGTTTTGCATTCCCTTAAAATTTTGGCTGATTGGGCATGCGCATTTAAGGTAGTTCAGTGTATTGCTCATTCGGTTGTTGCTATTTAAAGAGACAGTGTTCTTTTTCTCTCTCCTTGGATGTAAGCTGGAATTCCTTAGTGCAGGTAAGAAGGATTCTTTTATCTTTAGCATTTAAGTTTACTCTTTTTAAAGAGTATTCTTCATTCTCTAATTCCTGTGTATTCCTTCTTATAGCTGCCCTAATGTCAGCGTCTAGGTCTTCAAGAGGGTCTCCTTCTAGGCACTCAAGGTAAACTTCTTCCTTTTTATTTGTTGGATTAAAAGAGTGCAATTAAATGGTATTTTCAATCCTCCTCTTTCCGTTTTGTTTTAGTGTCCATGAGTTCGACCCATCGGAAAGATCTGTTGGAGGAAAGAAGTCTCACAAGTCTGCCCATTGTATTGCATGTGATGCTAAGGCTTTGGAAGGAAAGAAGCTATGTGGTACCTGCTTGTTCGAAGTGGCTGGTTCTCCTAAGGATCCATCTCCAGAGATTATGAGGTGGATTCAGATGGCAGTAGATAAGTCCATGGAACAGCAGAGAGCTATAAGAGGCCAAGAGCAACTTCTCATAAAGATAGAGAAGATGTGGATTCTGATGCCTCATTTTTGGAAGCTCAGTCGGAAAAAGATGAAGAGATGTATTCCTTAGAAGATTCAGACTTAATGGAAGAACATATGGATGTTAAGACCATCGGAAAATTAATTAAGGCTGTCAGATATACACTAAAGCTTGAAGACACAAAACTTTGTAAAATAATACAATGTGAGCAAGATATTACTTTGCTGCAGAGGGATTTAGATAGACCGGGGGACTGGGCACTCAAATGGCAGATGAAATTTAATGTTGAAAAATGCAAAGTTATGCACTTCGGCGTAAAGAATACACAAGCAACGTATACCCTTAATGGAAGCGAATTAGGGATAACAACACGAAAAGGACTTGGGAATTGTTATAGACAACAAACTATGCAACAATGTGCAATGTCAATCAGCAGTGGCCAAGGCCAGTAAGGTATTATCATGCATGAAAAAGGGCATTCATTCTCGGGACAAGAATATAATTTTGCCTCTTTATAAATCACTGGTAAGACCCCATATTGAATATGCTGTGCAATTTTAGGCACCTGTTCTAAAGAAGGATATTATGGCACTAGAAAAAGTGCAGAGGCGGGCTACAAAATTAATAAAAGGAATGGAACATATAGGCTATGAAGAAAGGTTAACAAATTTAAACCTATTTAGTTTAGAAAAACGTCGCCTGAGAGGGAATATGATAACATTATACAAATATATTCGGGGCCAATACAAACCATTGTGTGGAAATCTATTCACAAAGCGGACTTTACATAGGACACAAGGCCATGCGTTTAGACTGGAAGAAAGAAGATTTCGTCTAAGGCAAAGGAAAGGTTTTTTTACTGTAAGAACAATCAGGATGTGGAATTCTCTGCCTGAAGAAGTGGTTTTATCAGAGTCCATACAGATGTTCAACGGCTACTAGATGCATACTTGCAAGAACAGAATATTCAAGGATATAATCTTTCAATGTAGGGTAATAACTGCTTGATCCAAGGATAAATCTGACTGCCATTCTGGGGTCAAGAAGGAATTTTTTTCCTAGCTTGTTGCAAAATTGTGCTTCAAACTGGGTTTTTTTTGCCTTCTTTTGGATCAACAGCAAAAAACAAATGTGAGGTAGGCTGAACTTGATGGACGCAAGTCTCTTTTCAGCTATGTAACTATGTAAGAACCTAGTACCTCTAAGCCTTCCTCATCTATATTTCCAGAATTGATGAAGAAGAAACCTTCTATTCCGAGTCATGAAGCCATTAAGGAACTAATGCTCAAGGAATGGAGAAAACCCCAGAAAAGGGTCTCAGCTCAAGGGAAGATATCTTCTATAATCCCATTATCTGATTGGGATAATACATCCAAGGTAGATGCGGCTATTATTAAACTGGGGAGAAACACAGCCCTCCCGCTGGATCCTTCAAGGATGCTATGGATAGAAAGATTGACATCAATCTTTGTAAGAATTATGTCTCTGCTGGAGTGGCCTGTAGACCTGCAGTAGTTATGACTTCCGTCTCTAAGGCACTAATGAAATGGCTTTGTCTTCTGGAAGAGGATATTAAGAAGGGTGTAAGTAGGCCATCTCTATTACAATCCCTATCAGAAATTAAATGGGCAGCTGAGTTGATCTCATATGCATCTCTGGATATAATTAAGAACCTAGCCAGAAATATGGCGTTATCGGTTTCTGCACTTAGAGCCCTATGGTTAAAATCATGGAATGACCTATTTGCGAAAAAGAATTTATGTGTTATCCCATATCTTGGGCAATTATTGTTTGACAAGCAATTGAAGGAGGCCATCAAAAGAGCTGCCAAAGGCAAGAAGGTCTTTCTTCCCCAATTTCGCAGAGGTAGAAGGTTTTCCCAGAACTGGCAGGACAGAAGATCCTTTTGTGACAGACAATCCTTTCAGGAATCAAGGTCCTATGGGCCAAGGAGAGAATTCACAAGAGGTTCAACCTGGAGAAGTGGCCAGTCTGGAAGAGGTGCCAGAGGTAGATCCTCAACCGGTACTAGAACCTCAAACAGACCTTTCTGAAGGTTGGAGACCCCAGGTCTCGGGAGTAGGAGTTTGTCTCCATGCCTTTTGGGCTCAAGAAGATTTGGATCCCTCGGTGGTTTCTGTCTTCAAAGAAGGATACAGACTGGAGTTCAAGGTATTTCCCTGTTTCAACATATTTATGATCTCAAAAACTCCAGGGTTGCCAGAGAAAAGACAAGCCTTGATAAGAGATATTTCCGATCTTCTGCAAGAGGGGGTAATTTCAAGAGTTCCTCAAGGAGAAATTGGTCTAGGGGTTTAAATCTGTTCCTGGTTCCAAAACCATCTGGAGATTGGCGTCCGATTTTAGACCTACACAAGTTGAATCTGTCCCTCAACATCCAAAGGTTCAGAATGGAGTCCTTGTCTTCCATAATAGCGGTAATTCAGCCAGGAGATTGGATGATCTCAATAGACCTGAAGGACGCCTATTTCCACATTCCAATAGCAGATCATCATCAGAGGTATTTGAGGTTCGCAATTTTGGGAGAACATTTCCAGTTCAGGGCAGTTCCTTTTGGCCTAAGTACAGCTCCAATGACATTTTCAAAGGTCCTTCTGGCTCTGATAGCTATGATGAGACTTCAGGGTCTTCAGATCTATCATTACCTGGACGATATTTTATTGGTAGAAAGATCAAGGGCAAGGCTTCTGAGTCAAAGAGACCAGGCTATAAGAACTTTGGAAAGGTTTGGTTGGGTCATAAATTACCAGAAGAGTCATCTGGACCCCTCCCAGAGTTTATGCTTCCTGGGAGCATGGTTCCACACAAAGTTAGCCATGGTTTTCCTTTCAAGGAAAGAAGAGTTTGTGTCATGTCAAAGACACAAAAGGTGATGGACTCAGAGTGGGTCACGGCCGAAGAGTGTATGAGCATGTTGGGAAACGTTTCATCAACAATCAGTCTGGTAAAATGGGCACCTGCATTATCCTCAGAGGTATTTCTTGGAAAGGTTCAATCAGGACAAAAACAAGTGGTCCAAGAAGATAGTCATTTCGGCATTCCTCCGGAAGGCTTTGGACTGGTGGAGATATCCTGTTCACCTCCACAGAGGGTTTCCTCTAGGAGTGCAGTAGACATTGCTTACCTAGATTTCAGTAAGGCTTTTGACACTGTTGCACATAGAAGGCTTATCAATAAACTGCAATCTTTAAGTTTGGATTCTAATATTGTTGAATGGGTAATGCAGTGGCTGAGTGACAGGCAACAGAGGGTTGTAGTCAATGGAGTATATTCGAAGCTTGGGCTTGTCACCAGTGGGGTACCTCAGGGATCTGTACTTGGACCCATTCTCTTTAATATTTTTATTAGTGATATTGCAGAAGGACTTGATGGTAAGGTATGTCTTTTTGCTGATGATACTAAGATATGTAACAGGGTTGATGTTCCAGGAGGGATAAGCCAAATGGCAAATGATTTAGGTAAACTGGAAAAATGGTCAGAATTGTGGCAACTGACATTTAATGTGGATAAGTGCAAGATAATGCATCTTGGACGTAAAAACCCAAGGGCAGAGTACAGAATATTTGATAGAGTCCTAACCTCAACATCTGAGGAAAGGGATTTAGGGGTGATTATTTCTGATGACTTAAAGGTAGGCAGACAATGTAATAGAGCAGCAGGAAATGCTAGCAGAATGCTTGGTTGTAGAGGGAGAGGTATTAGCAGTAGAAAGAGGGAAGTGCTCATGCCATTGTACAGAACACTGGTGAACCTCACTTGGAGTATTGTACACAGTACTGGAGACCGTATCTTCAGAAAGATATTGATACTTTAGAGAGAGTTCAGAGATGGCTACTAAACTGGTTCATGGATTGCAGAATAAAACTTACCAGGAAAGGTTAAAGGATCTTAACATGTATAGCTTGGAGGAAAGACGAGACCGGGAGATAGAAACATTTAAATACATAAAGGGAATCAACACAATAAAGGAGGAGACCATATTTAAAAGAAGAAAAGCTACCACAACAAGAAGACAGTCTTAAATTAGAGGGGCAAAGGTTTAAAAATAATATCAGGAAGTATTACTTTACTGAGAGGGTAGTGGATGCATGGAATAGCCTTCCAGCGGAAGTGGTAGAGGTTAACACAGTAAATGAGTTTAAGCATGCGTGGGATAGGCATAAGGCTATCCTAACTATAAGATAAGGCCAAGGACTAATGCCCAGGGCAGATGGGTGAAGAGAGCCTCCCACGTTCCAGACAACCTTCTGGAACTAAGAGCAGTCTTCTTAGCCCTGACACATTTCCAGGATATATTAATGGGAAAATGGGTGAGGATTCACTTGGATAATCGTACCGCAGTGTCCTACAAAAACAAGCAAGGCGGTACCAGGAGCAAGAATCTTCTTCTGGAACTGGAACCCATTATGTTGTGGGCTCAAGAGAAAGTATTGGGTCTGTCGGCAGTCTATATTGCAGGACCAGAAAATTCGAGAGCAGACTTCCTCAGCAGGAATTATCTGGATCCCAAGGAATGGCAATTAAATCCCAAGATATTCCATCAACTGGTCTTGAAGTGGGGACGACCAGAAATAGATCTAATGGCTTCAGCGAAGAATACTCAGCTTCCAAAATTCTTTTCAAGAACCTTTCATCCCAGAGCTCTGAACACGGATGCCCTATCCAGCTCATGGGAGTTCAATAGTTCCCCCTCCTCAAGTCTCTTGTGATCACCAGGCCGTGGAAATTACCGGACATTCCGGACCAGCAGTGCACCCGTCGCCAAGGACTCTACATTTGATGGCATGGAAACTGAGAGGAGATGTTTAGCAGACAAAAGCTTTTTGTCAGCAGTAATTGACACTCTCTTGAAATCTAGAAGACATTCTACCTCTTCTATGTATTACCGCATTTGGACAGTATTTGCGGATTGGGCTGAAATCAATAAAGTCTCTTGTTTGTCTCCTACAGTCTCTAATGTTTTGGAATTTCTGCAGACAGGGCTGGATAGGGGTCTAAGCCTCAGTTCTCTCCGTGTTCAGATTTCTGTTTTATTGGCTCTTACTGGCTACAGGTGGGCTCTGGACAACATGGTGATCCCCTTTTTAACTGCAGTGAAAAAGTCAAGACCTTCTATCAGATCTTTATCGCCACCCTGGGACCTTCTGTTAGTTCTAAGGGCTTTGTCTCTCCCTCCATTTGAACCTCTTTCAGATGCCTCGGATAGATTGCTTACTTTTAAGGTTCTTCTTCTTGTGGCTATTACGTCTGGGAGAAGGGTATCTGAAATTCAGGCCTTATCTACGGAAAAATCCTACATGAAGTTCTATCCGGATAGAGTGGTACTAAGAACAAATTTGGAATTCAGGCCCAAGGTAATGTCAGAATTTCATTTCAATGAAGATTCTCCTTCCATCATTTTTTCAGTCTCCTTCTACACCAGAGGAAGAGAGGTGGCACACTCTAGATGTCTCCAGATGCTTTCTATTTATCTGGATAATACGGCAAGTTGGAAGAAATCTCCTACTCTTTTTCTAAATTTTGCAGGATTCAGAAGGGGATTGGCTGCATCAAAAGCCACTTGAGCCGATGGATTGTTTCAGCTATTTCTTCTGTATATCAGTATCAGGAATCTCAAGTCCCTGAGGGATTAAAGGCGCATTCTACAAGATTTCTCTCTACTTCATGGGCAGCTGCTACTAACACTCCTATAGAAAGTATTTGTAGAGCGGCCACTTGGGCTTCAGCTAATACCTTTATTAAACATTACGCCCTGGATGTGAGATCCAAAGCAACCTCTGATTTTGGAAGAAATGTTCTTTCCTCGGTCGCTTAACTCTGAATGAATACCTTGTCTTAGTTTTAATTTGCCCTCCCATAAAATTAGCGTGGGTATTACCCTATCATGATGCTGCCATGGATTAGTATCCAGGAATTCCGAAAATTTCCCCATACTTACTGTAATTTTCTTTTCCTGGATACGTCCATGGCAGCATCTATTATTACCCTTCCCATTTATTTTTATTTGAGCGTGTTACTTGACTGATGATACTTGGCAAGGAGGGCCTATTTGTAAGTATTTCCTGTCCTAAACAGCCAATGGGGAGGAGCTAACCCTATCGTGATGCTGCTATGGACGTATCCAGGAAAAGAAAATTACGGTAAGTATGAGGAAATTTTCTGAATTATTTTTATGACAGAAATGGCTTTTTTTTTTATATCCTATATGTATACCTAACACAACATGTAAAGTTGAATAAGAGTAACCGTGTGAAAAAAATATTAACAATTCACTGAGATTTGCTACCAGTAATTTTACTATGTGAGCAAATTAATTTAGACTACACTTAAAGGGACACTATAGTCACCAAAACAACTTTAGCTTAATGAAGCAGTTTTGTTGTATAGATCATGTCCCTGCAGTCTCAATTCTCTGCCATTTAGGAGTTTAATCATTTTGTTATACTGCATGTGACTTGCACAGCCTTCCTAAACACTTCCTGTAAAGAGTCATCTAAAGTTTATCCTTCCTTTATTGCAAGTTCTGTTTAATTTAGATGTTCTTATCCCCTGCTATGTTAATAGCTTGCTAGACCCTGCAAGAGCCTCCTGTCTGTGATAAAAGTTCAATTTAGAGATTGAGATACAATTATTTAAGGTAAATTACATCTGTTTGAAAGTGAAAACAGTTTTTTTTTTCATGCAGGCTCTGTCAATCATAGCCAGGGGAGGTGTGGCTAGGGCTGCATAAACAGAAACAAAGTGATTTAACTCCTAAATGACAGTGAATTGAGCAGTGAAATTGCAGGGGAATGATCTATACACTAAAACTTCTTTATTTAGCTAAAGTAATTTAGGTGACTATAGTGTTCCTTTAACCTGCCATTTTCTATAACTATGACTTAGCTGCATTAGCCACAATTCTGAGGATTCAAAGTTAAACCATAAATGCTTAAAGTGATGAAGAGGTGTTTCTTAACAAAGTGTGCACCTAAGCTGCTAACAAATACAAATTGGCACTGTATTGGCAGACAATGGCCCAGAGGGCAGGTTTATGTTACTTTTTCTCCCAGTTTAAGGTTGTCAAATGAGTAAAACATTAAAAATAAATGGTACAATCTGGAATGAGATTTTTCTTCTGACTGTTAGTTTTAACTGAATAAAAGCCCACTTGCAATCACTAAATAACTCACTGGAAATAAAATCACTGGAAATCAGTATCAGTTATGCCTGTAAATTACTACTGCAATGCAGTACATGCATTGGGAAGTCAAAAAAGGTATTGCTTCACTTTAAGTACATTTTCGTTTTACATACATACTCTGGTCCCATTGTGTACTTAAAAGTGGGGTATGCCTGAAGTGTCTCCTTAACTATGTTAATATGATATATTAAGAGTTGTTCATTTGCAGAGGGTTCTGCTATTTAACCATGTGATAGCAGAACCTTCTGCAACTCTTCAAATATCATACAGTAATAAATCGAAGTGAATTCTGAGATGTGTGCGGTGTTGCTTAACTTAACAGATTGAACATTGATTTTTCTCTTACAGTCTGCTATGAAAATTCAATCACTCTACTAGGTTACTGTAAATGATAGGAGGCCTGATTAGAGCAGAATCTCTTTGATGACATACATTGAATGAGTCACTTGAAGACAAACTGACCTCTGTGTAAATCTTCACAGAATTAAACCTTTAAAGAGGAACTGTCACTTAGAGGTTTCTGCTCTGCTAAGGTCCTCCCGCCCACCACCTGCTCCCTGCATCCTATTCTCTTGCATCTCATCCATACTCTGCCTCCTTCTCTTGCTCTCCCTCTCCTGTGGCATATTTCCATCACCCTTCAAGCATGCAACTGTAATCCCAATTTTAAAAAAGCCCAACCTTGAGCCTAACTCACTATCCAACTACTGCCCTATCTCACTACTGCCTTGTGCATCTAAGAGCCTTGATAAATTTGTGTATGCATGATTAACAAACTTCTTTGAGTCCAACTCTCTGCTTGATTCACTTCAATCTGGATTCCACGCTCAGCACTCTGTGGAAACGACTCTGACCAAAGTGTCTAATGATCTACTTGCTGCAAAATCTCATGGTTACTATTCTATCCTAATTCTCCTTGACCCTTACACTGCTTTTGACACGGTTGACCATCAACAGCTTCTTCTCATCCTCCTCAGTCTACAAGATAATGCTTTCTCCTGGTGCTCCTCTTACCTCTCTCAGCACTCTTTCAGTGTTTCTTTCTCTGGCTCTGCCTCTTCTCCCCAACTTTTCTCCGTTGGTGTCTCCCAAGGTTTAGTCTTTGGTCCCCTACTGTTCCTGATCTATACTGCCTATCTTGGTAAACTCATCAGCTCTTTTGGCTTCCAATATCAGGTCTATGCGGATGACACACAAATCTGTCTGTACTTTCTGATCACTCCCCGCCCCTCTTAAATAGTGTCTCTAACTGCCTCTCTGCTATT